TATTATGTAGTGTCCTTCTTTGTCTTTTATTGTAGTCTTCATTTTAAAGTCTATTTTGTCTGAAATAAGTATTGCTACTCCAGCTTTTTTCTCATTTCCATTTGCGTGAAATATCTTATTCTATCCCTTTACTTTCAGTCTGTATGTGTCTTTTAATCTGAGGTGAGTCTCTTGTAAACAGCATATGCATGGGTCCTGATTTCTTATCCACTCAGCCACTCTACGTCTTTTGATTGGAGCATTTAATCCATTCACACTTAAAGTGATTATTGATAGGTGCATATTTATTGCCATTTTGTTATTTGTATTTCTGATCTTCCTGGATTAGCTTGTTTTCCCCTTTCTTCTGTTTAAAAAAGCCCTTTTAACATTTCCTACAATGCTGGCTTGGTGGTAATGAATTCCTTAAACTTATTCTTTTCTGAGAAGCTCTTTATCTCTCCTTCAATTTTCAGTGATAGCCTGCTGGGTAGAGCAATCTTGGTTGTAAACTTTTATTTTGCGTCACTTTGAATATTTCCTGCCACTCCCTTCTGGCCTGCAGAGTTTCTGTAGAAAAGTCATCTGTTAGTCTTATAGGAGTTCCTTTGTATGTAACCTGCTGTCTCTCTTGGCTGCTTTTAGAATTCTGCTTTTGTCTTTAACCTTTGCCATTTTAACTATGATGTGTCTTGGTGTGAACCTGTTTGGGTTCAGCTGTTTGGAACTCTCTGCACTTCCTGGGCTTGTATGTCAATTTCCTTCACCACGGTAGGGAAGTTTTCAGTCATTATTTCTTCAAATACATTCTTGATCCCTTGCTTCTTCTCTTCTCTTTCTGGTTGGTATTCCTATGATGCGAACGTTGTTGTGCTTGATGTTGTCCCACAGGTCTCTTAAACTATGTTCATTGTTTTTTACACTTTTTTCTTTTTGTTGTTCCAACTGGGTGATTTCTGCTATTTTGTCTTCTAAATCACTGATCCTATCCTCTGCTTCATCTAATCTACTGGTGATTCCTTCGACTGTGTTCTTCATTTCAGTTATTGTATTCTTTAGTTCTAACTGGTTGCTTTTTATGATTTTTGTATCCTTCTTTATGCCGGCCCTAAGTTCCTTAAACATTCTTATCATCAGTGTTCCAAACTCTTTCTCTGAAAGGTTGGATACCTCTGTTTCATTTAGTTCCATTTCTTGAGGTTTCTTCTGATCTTTTACTTGGGACATGTTTCTTTGTTTCTTCATTTTGGCTGTTGCTCTGTGATTGCTTCGATGTATTAGACAGATCATCTAGAAAGAAAAAAAAGAAAGAAAGAAAGAAGAAGAAAAAAGAGAAAAAGAGGAAAATAAAAAGGCCGGGGGGGTTGGTGGCTCTCCACCCGCTTTAGTCTGCAGACCACTTGCTCAGCAATAGAGAGATTCTGGGCGGCTCAGACCAGCTGTTGGGGGGAAGGGCTCAGTGCGTCATGCACCAACCTCCCTCTAAGACTTGATGTGAGCTTCCTGCAATTAGCTGCTGTGTGCTCTGAAATCGTGCTCACCACCAAAAATCCTAACAGGTTGTTGAGGGCTGTCTGCTGCTGCAAAAAACCCCCTGTGGCCTGCAGAGGTAGGGGCCAGGCACCAGGGGCTCAGGGTGCCCCTGGCAACACAGCTCTAGGTGGGCGGGGCAGGCCCCCAAGGCACCACAGGATATAGTCAGTGGCCCCCACCAAGTCAGAGCAGCATGCACTCCTGCATCGGCAGCCAGCCTGCACAAACTCGGCAGGAAAGCCCCGGCCGAGTCATGCAGGTGCACAGCTCGCGGCCCTACACTCCCAGTTAAACTCCCAGTCTCAGTCTGTCCCAATCAGCCACTGGAAGATCAGGCCGAGCAGCCCGACAGCCAATCGCCACCCAGGTAACTCTGCACGTGCAGTGCGGAAATCGGGGATCTAAGGCAATTTGCGCACTCCCGGGTCTCAGTAAGCAGTCTGTTGGAGTCAGAGTACACCTGCCAGGTGTTTCCCTGGCTATGCAGTACAAGCAGTGCAGAGAGTGGGGATCCAAGGCCGCATGCGTGCACACGCATGCACGCACGCATTTCTATGTCAATTCCAGCAGAGTAATGCGGTCCCAGACTTGAGCCTCTGTTGGGAGGGCCCAGCCCTGAAAAAATAGCGCCGTCCTGTGCAGTATCGTGTGCAAGCTCCACACCACAGGAACAATGGTCCCCAAACCTCCAGCTCCTGCGCCAAAGGCACTCAGTTCAGTCCTTCCCGGAGGCTCCTGGGCCCCGCTCACAAAGCTACTCCCTCCACCAGGAACCGGGTGAGTGCTCACCAGCGAGCCAGTCAGTTTGCTGGCTCCACTGGTTCTCTAGCCGCTTCAGCCTCACCGAGTTGAGCAAAGAGAGTCCTCACTATTTTCTACTTCCAGCTATCGTAGAACTCCTCTTCCCAGCAAAGTAACTCTGGGCTGGTGAGCGCGGTGTGGGGCCGGAGGGTGTTGCCCCCAACTGGAGAAGCCTCCCCACCGCTGAGGTGTCCCTCACGGGGTTCGCTCTCTCTCATCTCCGCCCTTCCTACCAGACTCGACGTGGCCTCCTTTTTAAGTCCTTCGTTTAGAGGTTCTGTTCATCTAGTGTCCAGGGAACTTCGGAGGTTGAATATCTTATAAATTATTTGTAATTTTGGTGTGATCCTGGGAGGCAGTTGGCACAGCCTCTGTCTATTCCGCCATCTTACCGGAAGTCTCGAATCATTCTTTACAGCGGATCCCAACAGTGAATGTGAAAAGGTGGAATTTGTGAATCTGGTGCTGCTGTTCTGTGAGTTCATCCGACACGACGTTTTCTCTCACGACGCATACATGTGCACACTCATATCTCGAGGAGACTTGTCAGTCACCGCCTCCACTCGGCCCCGGTCTCCAGTGGGAGAGAATGCCGATGAACACTATCCAAAGGACCATGACGTGAAAATGGAGGTATGGCCCTGGGATTGGTGCTTCCCCACACACACACTGAAACACTGATGGGGGACCACTTTCAGAAGGCTTATTTGATAGTGGCAGGGTGATCACTTTTTAGTTTTCTTTTCTTGTTACAAAGCTCTTTTATCCTATTCCTTACTCATGAAGAGCATTTGGACTATGATTGACATCTTCCAGAATTTTCTTTGAAATACTCTAAAAGTATTAATGAAAAGATTTGACTGGCCATAAAATTTTTCTTTGGATTGGAATTATATGCTTCCAGTTTTATATATTTCTAATCCCCAGGTTTCCTTTAATGTTGTGCCTCAGAATTGGACTTGTTTTGGCCCTAACTTCCTAGCTGAGTTTTCATTCTAAACAGCATTTTTTTCCCTGATGTGTTATTTGTTACTTGTATCACTCTTATACACAATGGGAAATTCTGTTTTAGTCTTAACATATTGTATTTTCATTTCATTTCATTAGAAAGTTCATCTGTATTTCTCAAATGTTGTAGACTTGTTCTTTTCAACAAATTATTTTATGCTGTGGGTATGACTTTATAATTTTCTGCCAATTTCTGATATTTTGGACACTGTTCCAGATACTTATGAAAAGTTTCAAGGCAAAAACATGAAATTGGTGATGAGAAATAGTAGAAAATGGTGAGAGATTGTGACAATTCCTCAGAAATAAAGCCTTATATTGGTTTTTTTGAGAGCTTAAGCGTATGATATAATATTTTTAAAGCAGTAGCTATGCTTGTAATTTAAAAGCCTGACATTAGAATTGCACATGTGGATTCATAGCTTATACTCTTGTACAGGAACCTAAAAAAGTTGTTTCTTTAATGTAAATACTTTTGTTTGTAAATTTGTCCAGAGTAGAAGTTATATAGGGTTGAAAAAAACTAACGTTACTTTATCTGTTTAGGCTTTTTCTGTGTTTCTACCTTTTTTTATTCTTGGATGTCAAAGTTTCTTATATCTTAGATATATACTCTTAGATTTTTCTTACTAAGCAAAATGGGTAAGCCTGTAACTGGGAATAGCCCAAAGAAGGAAATTATGGCTGCACTGTTTTTATCAGGAAGTTTGTGTGCTCTTCCCTTAAAATATCATGGAAATTAAGTGTTTCTCATCATGAAGACAAAGAATGTTACTTTGCAAAGCAATAAATGTCTTAAAACTTCCTTCTTTATTTTTTTTGGGATAAAAAAGTCACCAGGAGGAAATAAAAGACATAGGATGGTTAAAAATGTCACTGTCATGTTTTACCTTTAGTTTCCTAATGAATTACAAAATTTACAATGTGATTTTCTTTCTCTGGCAATTATCAGGAACAGGCTATTATGGCACATATGGGCATTGACTCAGGAACTACTAATATTTTTGATGAAGTAGACAAGAGTGACTTTAAAACTGACTTTGGTTCGGAATTTCCAGTAGGTTCAACCTTTGAATTCTTATTGACTACTAACCCCTCCTCCCCACCCCTCCCTCAGTTTGCCCCCGTCCTTCCGTTTCTTGCCCCCTGTACTGGATTGACTTGTGTACTTGTGATGTAAATGTCATCCCACCATGTTCTGCCCGAGGACACAGTTAATGGTCTCTGCAGTTGGCTCATTTCAGTTCATCCTCAGTTTTGGCTGCATTGCCTTCTTGGTAAGTTCTAATACTCCTATCCTAGTTGACTGCTTGTGACGCTCTTGTTCATTTTGAGACCATCATCTCTCAGGAATACAGGAATGTAGTTTCATCATGACAGTTCAAGCTGATTTGCTGTGTGTGTGTTCGGCTTCTAAAGTACAGCTTTCCTGGCTCTCGACTGGCTCTGCATTCTTCTACTTTACCTCAGTATAATTACAATGTATTCTTCCTCATAGATCTTAATGTGCAACTCTTTATAAAAAATATTATTTGGGGTACAGACTAAAACCTTTATGTTTATCATCCATTAGCTTTATTAGTTAGTTATTTCTGTATATATGTATTTGTAGGGATTGTAGCCCTATGAGGAAAACACTTTCCTATAAGTCTGACTTTATCTCAGGTCCTCTGGGAAAGTTCCTGTGTGTCGTTGTCATTTTCTCATCTTCAAAATGGAGGGTGATAGTGACAGATTCCTAATGATCTGAATATGAAGTTTGTGGAAATTTACAAAATATCTTTATACATTTTGCTCAGTGGTTGAATAAGGAAAATATATTGTATGAGTGTCTTGTGTGTTTTAAGCTCTGGTATATAGCACTGGTATAAAAGCCAAAAGTTTTGGCTCTTGCTCTCTTTCATTTACAATCTCCAATGTTTGTTTTACATGGCTTAGATTTTTTCTCCCATGCCTGGTGAGTCCTGTGAGAATGCCAACCCTTCCTTGGGCAGAAGAATGTCGGTTAATGGTGAGAAGTTGCTGAAGAGAGAAAAACCGAGCGATTTAATTTTTCCATCTAATTATGACCTCCTGCGACACTTGCAGTATGCAACACATTTTCCCATACCTCTGGTAAGTCACTGCTTTGATCAGTTGACAAGTTGATTATTTTATTATAGGATTATTAACCAGTGATTATTCAACTACTTGCCTGAGTAATACGTATGATAGCAGGTGGGTGTTTGCATTTGCTGCTGCTTTTGTTATAATTCTGATCATATACCTTATGTATGTCATGTGATACCACTGGCAGGCTAAATTTAACGGAATTTTCTATATTAGTATCCTTTTATCGAGCATTTGAGTCACTGCAAATGATGTCTAAATTTGCTTTCAATTTGAAACTCATTTACTGAGTAGATTTTATATGTTCTGTATTGTAGTAGGTAGTTTTGGTATTATGCTGATGAGTAAGAATTTTGGGGCGTAGGGAAGATGAATAAGATAGGAGGGAGACAAATGTCTATAAAATGACAAGCACTAAAATGAGTGCAATAATTGAGTAAAACCCAAGTGCCCACTGGAAGGTGAACTGTTTGACATTCCCGGGTCTCTTCTACTCTCAAAGAATAAATATTGGAGGGGAGAGAGAGCATCTGATTGAGAAATTGGTTATGGAGTCACAGAAGAGGCTGTACGAGGTCTGACAATTAGGCTCACGAACTCATCCTAGAAAAAGTGCTACCTACCTCATTGCAGAATATCACTATGGTCATCTTTGAAGTATTTCCCTTGGGAAGCTATGCACTGACGCCAACGCCTAGTCCACCCTTCAAAGCAATTTTGGAACTCTTTCTGGAATGGCCATCAGAGCCGCTGACATATTACTTTTGATGTCCTGAATGTCATTAAAATGTCTTCATTTCCATATTTCCTTTATCTTTGGGTAAAGAACGAAGTCACTGTGGGCATGATCAGGTGAGTAGGGAGGGTGTTCCAATACAGTTATTTGTTTACTGGTTAAAAATTCTCTTTGCTTTGTTCATCAGTGAGCTCCTTTGAGACCATTTTTGCACACACCTTTCTCATGCCAAGATTTTCAGTTAAGAGTTTCCTGTTTCTCTGTCAGTGTTTACTTGGTCTGCTATGTTTCTCACAGCTGACAATTTTGACACACAAGTTGACAAATTTCTGCAATGTTTTCCTCAGTTCTGCTCGTTACTGGATGCCCTGACCTCTCTTCTCAGTGACGCATTGTATACCCTCAGAAAAACGTTTAATCCATTTGTACGCTGCCGTTGTCTTCACGGCATTATCCCCATAAACTTGGACTAACATGTCCCTGATTTCACTTTCACTCTTGCCAAGTTTAACAAGAAATTTAATATTTGTTCATTGCTCTAATTCAAGCTCAGGCATTCTCGCGATGGCACATGAGCACGCGACAACAATAATGAATGCCACTTAGCAAGACACTGTCACACGTTGACATGAACACAGCTGTGAGACACTGATAGACCAAGGTTATGAAACCTTACAGAGCTGTTTGTACAGTGCTGCCAGTGTAAGCACACGGTGGCAAGTTCGCGACCTTAATTTTCAGACCTCATACATGAAATGGATTTGAATTTTGACCTGTTGAATTTAAGAACTGAATAGCTCATGGGAAATACTTGCCAGAGAATTTAGTGTTTGAGTCATAATGAATGATGTGCTGTGTTCTAAAGGGAAACAAGTTTAATTTTATGGTATTAGTAATGAAGATTGGACCAAGATCTGTAAAATTTTTTATTCTTAGAGTCACTATCTTTTTTCCCCAATTTTATTTTAAGTGTAATTTCAATGAATAATTTTCATTGAAAACTTATTATTGTTGTTGTTATAACAAAAGAGTAATTGTGAGGTATATATTATGAGTTTGTTATTTCCTGGATATCTTTGAAGGGTTTTGATTTGCAAATTAAATATTTTCTTAAATTTGTTTATTTTTTTGGTTATTTTGGAACATTCTCTGAATGACTTTCAAAATCACTACACACCCATATATTTTTTTCTTATTGTAATTAGAACACTTTTTTTGGTGTTAATTTTTCTGTGTCCAGGCCTATGTCAAAAGTTGCCAAAATTCTTTCCTGTTCATCACTGGCTGAATATAGCCACAGTTTTCAGTAGTTGCCTGTAAGTGTCACTCATTTTCAATGTAATGGAATAATCTCACAGTTAATTTGGGGTAGCAGAAAGAGTAGCCTGATACTTTAGAGATGTATCCTGAAGAATTCATGGATAAATTATCCTTATATCTGGGACTGTTTTAAAGTAGAGTCAAAAAGGGGGGAGGGTAATTGAAGTCTGGGGTTTAGTGAACAGTAATGCACCACTATTCGCTTCCTAGTTGTGACAAATGTGTCATGGTTATGTAAGGCATTAACATTAGGACAAACGAGATGAAAGGTACATGGGAACTCTGTGTTCTACCTTTGTTCCTTTCTTGTAAATCATATATTCCACAATAAAAAGTTTATTAAAAAAAATGGAGATGGGAAGTAAAGCAAATAATGGCAAAATGTTAGAAATGGTTGAAATTGGTTGCAGGTTCTGTGCTCCTCTCTTGGGTATGCAGAGCTCTGCAGGCCTCCCTTGCCACGTGTCTGGGTGTCTGGGCAAGGCCCTCCCTGAGCATGAACTGCTTCATTCTGTCTTTCATGACATCCTCAGCTACACATCATTCCCAGCATTTAGCATTCCAGGGCTGTCCACTTCCTTAGAGGAAAGAGCATGAATGATTTCCAATGACTAATTCTCATGGTGAATTAGGACATCCTTCAGCTGTAATGCAGCCATAAAAGAGCTGCTGGAAAATTGAGGTGATCAGATATAATTAATAGCCTGCCCTCACCAGTTGCCCTAAACCCCCCTATACTGGGAGTGTAATTTAGAATAAGCCATCAATAGGGGAAATAAAAGTATATACTAATACAACACTGAAATTAGGAATGTTCTAGAGAGTCTGGTTCCCCTTACTAAAAAGGGAAAATTTGACTAACCTATCAGGCATGGGAGGAGAATATAAGAATAAAATAAAAAAAGTTTTTTCCACCTCTGTCTTTAAGATGTGGCTCTAGTGAGTGAAGGCCAAGGATAGAGGACCAAAGGGAACTTGACCAAAAGATTCAGAAAAATAACCAAGTTTCATGTATGCTCTTATGTAACGTCTTGATCTGCCCATCAGTAAAGGCATATTCCTAGACAACCAGCAAACCCAGGGTCTGAGTATAGGCTTCTACCAGTCTGCAGCGTAAGTAAGTCATTTAATCCTGTGTGTCAGAGATTGATGCCCATGGGGGTTCCTGTCATGACCATCAGCCAGCTAGAATGTGTTCAGTACTTGCCATGTTATGAGGGTAACAGGCACTTTATTTCATTTATTATTCTCTTCAAACTCAGAGCATATATTGGTGACATTGTAGACAGGAGTTGTCTTGGGTTCCAGCTTTAGAAAGTAATTCTTCTCAATGGAGAGCTAAAAATGAATCTGGAATCACATTTGTTTTGTTAGGTTCCAGGAACACCATTTCTTAATCATTGCAGCAGGTGCCAATGTATTACCGATTGTTTTATTATAATTTGGGCTTTTACTAATGAAATTAAAAGACAAAGCCACAAAGTCTCATGTGTGTTTATGTAAGCTTTCTGGTTTTCTTTTCTCTAAATACGTCTATTGTGTAATACCATCTATTGAATCTTTTCCTTATTACTGGCTGTAGAGAGAATTCAATCAAATGGTTGTGACCCCGAGAGTTGGAGTCACCCATACCTTAACCTGTTGGCCCCATATGGGGTCAAACTCATGTTCAGGATCTGAGTGGTGCCAGTCAGTCCAGCACACACTGCGTTCCTTACATTGGTAGGTCTTGCTATGTGGACTCGGTGTGTCTATTTTAAGACCATTTGACTGGTGCTGTTTTTCCATACCTTTGATGTGAGTTTCTAGTTAGTTCCAAAACAGTAGTTTTAGCAGTTAGTATAATTTAAAAACTCCCCTTGAAATATTATAGGGTCTATTTCATATTACTACAAAATAAAAATAAGAAACCACTGGATTTGTCATTGCTAACAGAAGATCTTTATTTATAACCTTCAGGTAGAATGTAAGTATATAATACATTAAACACTGGCCATGTATTTCCAAGCCTTTTTAGAAATAAAAATATTTAGTTATTGTGTTAGAAAACAATTAGATGTTAAAGATTGGAGTAGTAAGCTAAAAGGTCACCATCTTTGAAGTGATGGATTAAAAATAAATCGGGCACAGGTGGTTTCATGGAAAAAATAAGTTGGATTTTTTTTTAAGTGATCCAAAGGGCTTAAAATTGTGTTGCTGAAGAGCCTTGTCAATTTACATAGACGTAACAGTTATCCATTGAACAATGAGGATGCTGATTCCCCCGCCCACAGTAAAAAATCCACAGTAAAAAATCCACGTTTAGCTTTTGACTCCCCCAAGACTTAACTCCTAATAGACCACTAATGTCCAGAAATCTTACCAATAACATAAACAGTTGATTAACACGTATTTTGTATATATTATTATATACTGTGTTCTTACAATAAAGTAAACTAGAAAATGTTATTAAAGAAATCATGATGAGGAAGAGAAAATGCGAAAATGCATTTATACTACTGCCCATATTTATTGAAAAATATTTTCGTGTAAGTGGACCCATGCAGTTCAAACCAGTGTTCAAGGGCCACCTGTATTTTGCATGTTTTTATCAAGAAGTCAGTTCCAGGCATTTAAATGAACACCTCATGCATACCTGTGTGTCTATGTCATAGAAGTCATATGGATTTCAAGGATATTTAAGGGTTTTACATTGGTTCAACAAGACTTTTTAGTTCTTTCATACACATTTTTGGGTTAAGGAGCAACAACAGCCATTAAATGTTGATTGGCCTATGTATAAATACAAGGTTTCACCATAAACCAGGCCACATTTGCTAGTTGTCTAAAATTTTGCATTCTGAGACTCTGTTTTCCTCTTTCCCAGTAGTTCTGTACATGTCCAGTAAGGCAAGAAGTGACAGGATGAAAAATCCCGTATTTTATGCATTTTCACACCTTGATTTTTCTTTCTGAGCCATGCTCTCCTTAGGTGATGCGAAAGTCTCACTGACCTTTAAGCGGAATGCTTTTGAAAGGTGATAGTACAGGATGGGATCAAAGCACAGGTTTGACACAGCCAGGAGCAGCGTGGCCTCCTTGGCTTTGAAGAGTGAAATCCGCGTCGGGCAGTCAGATATGACCTCCGTCTGGCTGAGGGTGTATGGGATTCGGACAATGTGATAAGGAACAAAACATATGATGTAGGCTGTGGTCACTAAAAGTATGTTGATGAGAGTTCTTTTCACATTTGGATAATTTTCATTATCTTTGTTTCTGTAGAGTTGTCGAATTACTAGGCAGTTAGATATTAAAATGATGACTGAGAAATTTAAAAATATAGCCAAACATATGAAGTTTGTCAGCAAATGCCAGTTTCTTCCGAACTCCCTTTTGAATTCCATGCACCCCACATTTGGCTTTTCCTTGATGTCTTTGATTGGAATCACCATGTTTGGCACCATTATGAGAAGGACCATGACCCACACGACGGCCGATATCATTTTGGCAAATCCAGGTTCCTGGATTCGATAAATCTTGCTGCTGTAGGTCAGCTGCAGACAGCGATCCATGCTAACAAACGCTAAGAAGATAATGGACAAGTACATGTTAATGTAGATGAGGCAGGCTGTGATTTGGCAGTGGAATATCCTCAGCTTCCAGGGGGCCACGCCCAGGTCCACCACAATTTTCACCGGTAAGGCCAGACTGAGCAGGAAATCCGCCGTCAGCAAATTAATTAAGTATATGCTCACACACCTGTGATTCGTATTTTTCTGTATGAAAGCCCAGGTTGCAAAACAACTTCCAATAATTCCAATAAGGAAAACTAAATAAAAAAAATATGTGAATGGCTCCAGATTTCTGTAAACTGGACAGAAGGTAGAATTGTTTGTCATTGTGAAAGTAAGGATGACTCTTCTCCAAAAAAAAAAAAAATTCCAAATAACCTGTTAGAAAAGAAGGGGAGGGAGGTTAGTAATGACAGTGAGAAATTAATTTCTTTAAAATAATTTGCACTTACAGTACCACGGTCACAATCTTTCTAGTTCTCAGAATTTTACTGATGAACTTATTATTAGATCATGTGGACTGGTGGGAGCATCTTTGATTATGAGGAAGCCTGGGTTTTCCATGTTCTGATTTTGTGATTTTGGGAAATCCCAGGTAGGTTTACTTATAGAAGGGCTATTTTTGACAACATACTTTTGCATTCTGATAGCTCTTTTGTTACCAGTTGGGTTGGGATTTAGTTTGCAGAGGAAATAAGTGAACTGAGTTTCTGAGAAAAAGAGAGGAAACTAGGGTACGATGGTATGGTTGTGGCCCAGCCTGAAGAGCTTTCAGTGAGGCTTCCTGAGGCTTTCTGTTCTCATGGGTGGGACAGACCTCCTCACGCCGGGGTAACCTAGTCTGAGAGGGGAACGGAAGGGGGAACAAAAAATTGGACTGAAATTTAAAAGATGTTATTGAAAAAGTAGGTCCTTTGTTATCTAACCTACTGGAACATTTTCCCAATAAAATTCCATTTTTCTTTGCTTTTCAGCAGAAAGAGTTGAAAGATTAGAATCTGGTCTAGAACTGATGCTTATTTCTTCCCTTTTCCTTGCTGCAGTTTCATAATGGTGTAGACCTGGGATGTCCAGTATGGTAGGCCGTAGCCACACGTGACTTATTGACTACTTGAAATAAGGCCAGTCCAAACTGATGTGTGCTGTAAATGCAAAATACACACTGGGTTTCAAAGATTTAGTACAAAAGATTACTCAAAAAATAGTACACGTAGTAAAATTGTACTCGTTTATACAAATAGTACAATTAGTAAAATGCCTCAATATTTTCATGTTGAGCGCATTTGAAATATTTTTGATGTATTAGGTTAAATCTTAAAAATTAATTTCTCCTGTTTCTTTCGCTGTTTTACATGCAGCTACTCGATGATTTGAAAGTACCTCTGTGGTTTGCATTGTATTTCTTTGGGATAGTGCTTGTCGAGGTTTCTGTGTCCATGTGTTTGAGATACTTGACCAAGAATGTCTTTTTAAGACTTCCAGAACAAGGATGTATGCCATTGGTTACAAAATTCTAAAAGAGAAGCTCAGTTATATCAGGATCAAAATGTCTAATGTTAACACTTGAATGGTTTTTTTTTTTCTTCTTTTTCTTTCATTGTGGGTTTTGAAGCAGCCAAGCCCACAAGCATAAGACATACCCTGAAAACCATGGTGACAGACACTGATAATGACAAAACAAGGATGGTATGTAAACACAAGTTAAACTAATGGGCTTCATTTACCCCTGTTGAGCTGGTTCTGTCAGACTTACACTCTTAAGGCCTCCGGTCCCTCTTTCTGGTGCTGCTTCTTCATAAGCTCCCTCTTCATGCATATTAAACACCTTTCTTTTGTTTTAACAAGAAGATTACTTTTGTGGTTTAGCAGGGAAAACTTGTTATATAACTTTTTAAAAGTAGCATGTAGTGGCTGACTTAAGAAGGCCAAATAAATCCATTCACTCAAACCTCCCTTTTAAAAACACAAAACCAAACCCCAAACTTCTGAAGCCATACTAAATCTTAATTCTCTTAATTATTTCATGATCCATTGTGTACATCTTGGGATGAAACAGTGTGCTAGCGATGATAAGGCCCATGTACATAAATCTTTCTAAATTAAAGTGTCATTTAATGGGTGCATGTCCTTCCCACTTTCCTACCTGGGATAGGGTGTTAGAGTCCATGAATGATATCACTCTGTACTAAATTTCATGAAACTCATTAAGCACTTACTTTGTGCCTGGTACTGTGCTAAGCACTTTTCATGTACTCATTTAACCTTTCAGCATCCCTGTCATGTACGTGTTGTTATCTTTGTTTTACAGATGAGAAAACTGAGGCATAATAAATTTATGCCGAAGGTTATAGAGCTGGTTATAGAGCCAGGATTCCAACCTGGACCATCTGATCTCAGAAGCCATGTTCAAAAACCATTCCAAAACTCTTATCATCATCTTCATCATCATCATCATCATCGTAATAATAACAGTAATAATGATGATGGTGATGATAACATTATTATTATTTTTAAATAGCCAACCTTTACTAAGTATTTACTATCTGGCAGGAACTATATTCTCAGCATTTTTCATGGAAATGAGCGGAAATAAAAGTCATTCTTAATTTTTTTCTAAATACTAATGCAAGAAGTTTAGGCTTCATGTATTTTGATGTGTAAAAACAAACCTAGGTTCTGTACTTTTAGTCCAGACCTCCTTTACTTTCAAAGTTCCCATGACCCCGTCCCTCTACAGCAGCCCCACTCTAACCTGCACTCTAGGCTGGCGTCATCTCCAGTGCTCTGTGAACTGTTGCCTTTGTACTTTTGGTTGTGATAAAATTCGGAGATCAAAAGACTTTAAGGATGGAGGGAACCTGTATTAATAGCATCTAATCCAATCCAAGATCAGTCGAGGAGACTGAGGTCTGGCCCTTGGGTGTTGCTCGAGGTTTCTCAGCTTGTTAGAGCAGGCAAGGCTCTGACCTGTTGGTCATTTTCTAGACTCTGCCTTTGTCTTTCCTGTGCCTGAGTCCTGCCTGTCCCAAATGCCCGGAGGAAGCCCTTCCCATCTGAAGTCTACTTCAGGCTTCACTGACTTCCTCCTCATGGCTCTGATTTTCGAGTCACCATCATTTGTACCCTGGCATCCTGAATGTCCTTTTCTTCTCTGGGTCAAAAGCTAATAATTTTGGTGCAAATTGATCCTTTTCTACCACCTTTGCTTGTTCCTTATGGGCTTATGCGCTTGTATTTCAAATGTTACATAATAGTAGTAACATAATGTGCTTTTTAAAGTGTCTCCATTGCTCATACAGCTATACAATAAGGTTTATTTTATAGAAGAGTGTATGGTAAAAAGAAGGATTAGAAAATGACTTGTTTTGCTCAGTTAATATTCTCTGTAACTAGACGTGACCATACATACCACCCATGAGTAATTAATTTAAAAATAGTTACAGGGTGTCTGTTTATTCAGTAATGCTTAAGAATCATGCTGTTTCTATGAACCTCAGTCTAGATTGCAACAAAAAACAAATTTCTTCATTTAAAAGTTTTGTTTGTGTCAAGTAGAGGTTAAACTAAATAAATGCTTGATAAATATTTTGTCAAGCACTTATTAGCCTGTGGGAATTTGAGGCACCCAGAGGTACTCCAACGAAACCAAAAAAAGATTTCAAATGTCTCCTTTGTTTGGATCAAGTACTCGTTGCTTAGAAAATAAATAAACTCATGAGATTTTTTTTTTTTATGCAAGTCACAGTGGAATTTTCTTGAAATCACCTATCGTAATGTGTGTAGAAGGAGGTCATTTTAAGAACTGTTGTGCCCTGTTGTAAAGACCTCCATCATGGCCTTTACTTACTGTTATGAAATTGAGTTACTAAGGAGAGGCACTCACCTCTAAATGAGTATTCAGCTTTAGATGAATTAAGCTGTCTTTTTGAGAATGGATGAGGTCTTCAGATAAAATAAAATTATAGGGTAGTAGTTCACAGTCAGAGTCTACTTAGAGTTTAATAAGTGGTGACTTCTTTTTATACAGCAACCTTATTACATGTTGGCATTTCCAGCTTACATGGGCTAAACACTGAAAATGACAGATTTCTCTTCTGTGGAAAGACGTTTGAATATATTAAGTATTTAAAAAGACCTACCTGGGGGTATACTCTGTGAGCCTCCAGGGGCCTCTCTCCAGGTCTTCAGACAAGTGTGAGCTGATCGTCTGGCTGCAGCAGCAGCAGCACTAGCAGCCCTATTGACTGCTCGTTGTACTAAAAATTTCCTTTCCTTTTGTGTGGTTTTAAAATGTTGCATACTGACGTAGATGAAACTGTGGTTTGCAAGTAGTTTAACTGCATGGCAGTCTCCTCAGTTTTTTTTTCAATTTTGTGTATGCTTTCTTAAGCTATTCAGATTTATCTATTCTGACTTTAGAGGAAAGGTTTTTATTTGTCCATTGGAGTACCTGGGTTTCTTTTTGTGTTTTCTTTAAAGCACCTAAGATGTGTTTTGCATCAAAGTGCTTTTAAACAACATCGATTTTTGTGCCTTGAAAAGAGTTACGCGTTAGATATTAGGTGTCAAGCAAACTTTCTATAGTTCCACACACTGCAACTCATCAGTTTTTCAGAGTTATAATTTAAAAAATATGTTGCATTTTGGATCCTGCTGGAGACATCTATTAATAAACAAAAAAAGGTGTGATTTAAAGGTAGTCTGGTAAAGTACTGTGATTTATTTGTCTTTATCCTTTTCTGTTCACTGTAGGAAAATCTGGAAATAGAAATATAAGCAATAAACCCCATTATGCGGGGAGATAATTACTGTTAACGTTTGTGGCACATCTGTTTTAACATTTTTCTATGTACACCACTTAAAAATGTTACTGTATTGTACATACTGTTTTATGGTTTGTGCTTATTTCATTCAATAATGTATTGGATGTTTTTCTAAGTTGTAAGAGGAGACCTGCAATGAATGTTTGTCAATCTGGCCCAAACAGCTTAATGAGTTGAGACAGATATTTAGTAATTATAAGGCTGTATGTGAGGGGACCCTCTAAAATGCACTTAGATTGTTTGGGCCAATGTTTCTGTCTGTGGGCGAGCAAGTGACTGAATGGACCCCAGCATGGTGAGGGACCTAACAAAACATCACCCTCTCATCCGCATCGTCAGTTGGTTTGTTAGGTTATCTTTCTTGTATAAGGGTAGCTTTATAAAAGAATATGAGGTCACATTTCAAGCATATTTTAGGGAGTTCTGAGTCTGCCGGTGCAAAGCTGACTTGTAATTGCAAAACCAGTGCCTGATCAGTTAGGGTCTGGTTTCTTCTTTTGCTTCAGTGGCCTTGTATGTGCTTTGGTTTCGTCTCTTTTTCTCCTAATAATTAATTAACTCTTAGTTTTCTAGATAATAAGAAGCAAGTCAGAAGGAACTTCTCCAGGAACTTAAAATTGAATCCCTTTTGGTGTTCACTTTTAAAAAGAAAAGTCTCTCCAAAGACTAAATGAGAAATGCCAAGCTAGAGGGAATTTAGGGAGAGTCTAAGGGAACTTTTGATAAAAACAATGTAAGGATGCTTATAATGATAGTGGCTACTGTTTGAGATATTCTGGTGTTCTCCCAAATTCATGTAATTATTATTAGTTTGCAAAAAAAGAGATTTTACATATACTTACTTATAAATTAGAGGGAAAAAACCCAAAATCTATATCAAATTTTGTATTTCAATTTTTGGTTCACTTTATCATGACAGTGCGAACAAATGATCTGTCTTGAGATTTATGTGCATCATTCTTGGGTAGGACTCACTGAAAAACACTCGAGAAAAGACATGCTTGCAGACCAGTAAGCAAGCAGTTGTGATCAGGGTTTTCATTCAATGGGGGATGGAGAGGGTGAGATGGTGAGAATTTGGGGAGGTGGAGTCGGCTGCCAACTGAGTGGTGAAGGGTTTTAACATCGTGTGAATGAAAACTGAAATAAAAAAATCTTCTTTCTTTTTTAGAGCTGGGCGTATTTCTCTGTTTGCTTCCCTGTTCACTTTGAGGGTGTAGACAGAATTAAGAACATTCAACTGTCCGTAAAAATCCACTAAGGCACCAGTTATTGTGTCTGAATTGTCAGATATAAAAGAGCTAAAGTCTCTAAGCTCTCAGTGTGCTGTTGCCTTTTTGGAACTACAAGAAAGCACTGTGAATAGTGAAACTTAACCATGTTCTTCCTTTTGAGAACAAGCTTGATGCAACTTGGCGTTTTGTGGAAGTTTATTCACAGTGGAAATAAGCTTTTTTTGGCTACTGTCCCTGCTTTTATTTTTGTTTTTAACACGTGTTCCATCTGACTTTCCATAAGTCATGTCTATCTATCTGTTTCATTAAGGATAAATGTTTTTCAGATGGTATTTTGTTCGTGTTCTAGGAAATTACACATCATCACTAACCCAGTATTTTAGAAACCCAAGTGGGAAGAAGTGGGGTGAAGTTATTTTTCCCTTACCTTGGTCATGGCAATACTTTTTATTTAAGAAATGATGTTATAGTTACTTTAATGGATATTTTGTATATTTAAAATAAAAATTGAAGCCACATTGCCCCATGAATTGAGAAAGAAAATCTTTTTGTAGTTCCAGCTCCCCTAGACATGCAAATCATGCTTTTGATGTTTGGGGGCGCAAATACCAAACAAGGGTATTTCAGTAGAAGTACCATTTTTTAAAGTTTTAGCATTATTAAAATTTGGTTTTTTGTTTTTTTTTTTTTAAAGATTTTTATTGGGGAATTGGGGGGATGGGAACAGTGCTGGGGAATTGGGGGAAGGGAACAGACAAGTTGCTGTTGTCCTTTTGTTCTTCAATCTAGTTGTGGAGGATGTTGCTTCACTGGCCCAAGTTGGCACCGTCATTGCGCTCTTCCCGGGTGAGGCAGATCAGTCGCCGGCTTCTGGACGGCCGCTCACTGCGGCTGCTGGCTGCTCACGTTGGCTGCTGGCTACACACGGTAGCCCATGGCAACCCACTGCCACAGGGGCTGCAGCCTACGCCGTCGCCGGCGACTCATGGCAGCCCAGCTCCAGGTTGAGCTGTTGTTCAGCATCGTAGCTGTGGAGGGCAGTGTCACTGGCCCTCATATGTGGGATCCGAACCGGGGCCCTCTGGCATCCCAAGCGAGTTCTTAACCATCGCGCCACTCGGCCGGCCCTAAAATTTGGTTTTTAAACATAGCATGGTAGCCCTTTGGAACTGATGAGGAAGAGGAAAATGGATATTGGGGTAGGCAGCCACCACCACAGCCACACGGGCCTGAGAGTTTATTTTCTTTAAAGCAATCCATGAGATAAAGGAAACTGCTCTCTTTACAGATGGGGAAACTAAGGCATGGGGAAATTATGGTCTAGCCCAGGGGTCAGCAATGGCTCATGAGCCACATGTGGCTCTTTGGGTACGTTCTGTCTCAAAAGTTTGCCGACCCCTGGAAGAGCCAATCCTGTCCCTCACAACAATTTAAAAATTATTTGAGAGCCATAAATATATTTTTACCTAATCACCATTATGTGAATAATATCCTGTAAAAATTTTATAAATGAAACTATGATAGTTTTATTTTCATTTTCAATTTTACTTCAGAGCCTGTGGCTCGTGAGCCAGAGTTTGCCGACCCCTGGCAGCGCTTCTGTCTCAAAAGTTTGCCAACTCCTGGCCTAGTCTAAGCTGCACAGTTGGACTCCATGCTTCTGAAAATGAAAATGTTGGACAGAAACAGGGGTTACAAAGGAGGCCAGCAGGTCGGCCCAAGCTCCTCGTGCCCCCCACTTAATGTTCGCTACTGTTGGAGCTGAATGCCGCTGGGTGGTGGAACAGTACCCCTCACTGCTCCCACTCTGCTCGTGGAATTGGGAATTTAGGATGCTCTCAACTCAAACTAGTTTGAGTCCTGAAGCTTTTTATGAGCTTTGCGCAGAGGGCTGTTCCTTGGGTAATGAATGTTGGTGATCGAAACATTCCTCCTACAGTTTGTGTGGCTCCGGTTAAGCCTTCTCTCGGCCTTCTCTGTGGAACCACTGAGCTTTTGGTTTGTGTTTGGAAAGTTTTTAAAGCACATAACCCCCTTTCCCACCTGGATTAGTCCAAAGACTTCTTTCCTGAGTCTGACTGAGATTAGTAATATCAAATCTGAGAATGACGATGTCATTAAACAGAGTAGTTTTTTTGTTTTTTTGTTTTTGTTTTTTTAGCTGAGCCATCCTGCCACCTGTTGGCAGCTCAGTGGCAGCTCAGGTCGGGCTAGGAATCAAACCAGCAATGCTGTTGCTCGGAGCTCGCACTCTTTTTTTTTAAGATTTTATTGGGGACTTGGGGGAGGGTAACAGCGATGGGGAATCAGGGAAGGGGAACAGACAAGTTGCTGTTGTCCTTTTGTTCTTCAGTCTAGTTGTGGAGGACGACGCTTCACTGGCCCATGTTGGTATTATCATTGTGCATTTCCCGGGTGAGGCAGTTGCTCGCAGGCCGTTGGATGGTGGCTCACAGCCACTCATACTGGCTGCCAGCCGCTCGCGGTAGCTCATGGCAGCCCACTGCAGGAGGGGCTGCAGCCTACGCAGTTGCCGGCCACTCACAGCAGCCCAACTACTGGTTGAGCTGTTGTTCACCATCTTAGCTGTAGAGGGCAGTGTCACTGGCCCTAATGTGGGATCCAAACCAGGGCCCTGCTGCTCAGAGCTGAGGTCCCAAGCCAACTCTTAACCAACGCGCCACTTGGCCAGCCCAAAACAGAGTAGTTTTAAAGTGAGGTGTACATAGAGAGGTTCCAATATGTTGCCTTTTGTGCATTATATAATCTTTGCCCCTGTTTCCCCTTTTTTTCATGAAATAGTAAAATTTTGGGAATGTTTTGAAGGCAAAGGTGTTTTGCACATTCTTGGAATGCGAAGTTGGTTGTAAGAGTGGCTGAGCTTATTCTGTCGTTCTCCTTGCCCATCCTTTTGGTTTTCGACCCTTTTATTGAAGGGCACCGTAGCCAGTCCATTTTACCTTTCAGTTGTGAAGTGTGACTGTGCCGTTTGACCCATGGTTATAAAATAATAAGGGGGGAAATCCCTGTAAAAATTTTTAAAGGTTATCTTGTTTGTTTTTAATCACTGAGTTCATTTTTCTTTTTCTTTTCCACTTGAGTCATTATGGTCCCTTTTTAATGAAGTTGCTGAGTAATACATTTTATGAACTCTGTTGTTTCTTTCCTGGAGAAGGTTC